CAAGCAGAAGAAGCGGCATGGTGTATTTTGAGTCTGCGTAAGGAAATCACGACTGGGACTCAAAGCCAACCGACCTATTTTGAGTCTGCGTAAGGAAATCACGACTGGGACTCAAAGCCAACCGAACTATTTACGACAAATGGCTGCGCCGTTTAGCCGACAGCACTCAAAACCGACAAACTTGAGTCTGCAGTCGAACCACGAGGCTAAACCCACATAGGCCCTGCCTCTGGACTCTACTTGGATGCTTAGTTGACTTGGTACGTCCACTTAGTGTCTGCCAGAAGTTCTAGATTCTAGATAAAGGAATTTGAATCCTAGGACTGAAAGCCAACCAAACGATGTACAACTAAGCACATAGGGGGAGACGCTCAGCGGAAAGCCAGCTCGACCGCGAGCGAATGTTGCATTACTTGCCACGTGTCTTCCGGGAAGGATTTGCATGCATGTCGTGTGTTGCGGGCTGATTGATCGTGATGTCATATTCACATGTCAGTTTGGAAACTGGAAATCAGGAGAATCAGTAAGTTGTCACGGCGCATATATCACCGAGTCTTCACAGCTTTGGTCCAACTTGAACTCTCGGCCAGTCCTCGCCTCCTGCAGTGGGGAACGCTTATTGCCAGCTTGGTCGCATTGGCGATGTGCCAACTGTCCCGGGCTGAACTTGAGATAGCATTGCTCAGTGCATCCAAAAAGCATCGTGTTACGACGTGCTCAGGGGAAAGGACCGCTATCCTATCAACATGCTGGGCCTGTGCTTCCTCACGGCAGTCTCCTTGCTGCAAAACTGCGCTGGGCAAGCGTGACTCGAGGCTTGCTGGTTCAGGACTTCCGAGTCTTGTGATGGCGTCTAGGAACTGGAAGTACGAAGGGTTCTAAACCAAGTGCGCCGATCTTGGGTTCTTTTGCTTGAGGTCATGTCGCTGGATGTCGGGGTTGTCTGTGCGATGGTGGCGGCCATCGGACTAGGTTCGCTGCATATGAAGATTACTGGAGCTGGTAGGCCAATGATTCGAGCTTTGAACTATTTGAGATGCCGGTTCCTGCATGCTTGGCGTTTGCAAGCACTGAGCGGTTTTTGTGTGCATACCGTTGCCTAACCAACCAGCTTTGCCTGATCAGCACGTGCCTGGCTGTGTAGACTTAATTCAACCAGGGCTCGCGACCGCGACGCGTGGTCGACGCTTGCTGTTTGTTTTGGCTTCACCTGCCTGTTGCTGTGCTACCTCCACGCACCGTGGTCCTTTCGATACGCTTGAGGGTGCCACGCCAACTCTATCGCCGTTCCGAGAAGTCTCCGTGCTTTGCCCGTGACCCGAGACTTGCTTGACTCAGAGGCGAGCTGGTGGTGCAGGCGGCGGTGATTACTTCCTTGCTGACACTGGGCTTGACCTTGCGCCCCTTGAAGTTTCAATTTGGCAGTTCATGCTAGTTTCCGATGGGTCGGGAGGTACACCTTCAAGTCGAAGCGAGACTTCTCCTTTCTGGGAGCTGCTCTCTGGCCTTTGCTGTTTCGATCTCAAAACTCGTCAGTCCCGAGAAGTGCAGAAAGTATGGAGAAGTGTTCTGGATTGAGGTTTGGACTCGTCGTCTTCAGCCTCCTTAGTGTCCGGGGCTTGCAGCGCAGTGGCGTGTTCTGTGACATGACATGTTGCTTTGGACTGTGCCTGTGCTTGATGTCATGGAAGGGGCTGCAAGCAGCCTCGCAGAAGCGCAGCAGGAATCCATAAAGCACATCAGTAGAATAACTTCAATCACTGAATCACGCTGCTTGTGCAGCACATTTCAAGAAGATACTGTAGCCACTCGTAGAGTCCTTGCCCCTTCGATATTTTCTTGCAAGACAAAGCTGCGCCAAGGTGTTCTTTCCATCGCTGTACGTCCGGCTGGTGTGAAGCAGCCATAAACTCCAACGAAGTGCCGCATGTGCCACAGCCCGCTGGAGTCGAAGCCAGGCAGATGGGATGGACAGGCCTGCTCTTCTCCTTTGCAGGACGGGCTGCACCATTGTCTGCACTTTCGGGCCGTTGGGTGATTACAACCGCAGGCGCTGGCATCTTCTGTGCCTTCATCGTGTTTGACACGTGGCGAATCCTCAACCAGATGAACTGCGACGATTACGTCCAAGATATAGCCTCAGCAGCTGCGTTGACACTGCGTTCTGCCACACCGTGCAAAGCTTCCTGTACGGAATCTGGCTAATGCCACTGGGCTAAGGGTGCCATCCAGCTGTATTTGGATATCGTCAACCTGTTCTTGTGCGACTGTGAGAACCAATGAGGAAGAGTTCATGCCAGTGTAGCTGCTGACTTGCCTCGCCCGCAGGTACATCCTCGAGATAATGGTGAAGATTGCTCTCTCCAAAAGGGACTAGAATGAGCGCTTGGTCACTTCGCTACATGGCGCTGACTCGTTCCAAGGTTGCACGGTCGGTGATTAGCAGGCCTAAACCATTCAAGTGTCTCATTCTTTGAGAGTGCGACCCTCTGCGGCTCGGCTCAGATCCGGTTTCTGCAGACTCCTTGTCTTCTTTTTCTGGTTCGCTCAATTCCAAGAGCCCCGAGACACGCACAAGTTGTGCAAGGAGTCACTGCAGAGGTTACAACTACAACTTCGTCTTTATTGCGCAGACTGCGGCAGCGAAGCTGCAGGTACAGTAGCGCTGTTGATGAAGTTGGAGTGCTGCGAGGACAATTAAAAAGGCCTGTCAGCCCATCCAGCACGGTAGCGCATTCGGTCCTCTGCGCGAGTTCTGGGCGACGAAAGCCCAGGCCGACGATGCATCCCTCACAGCTGGAGGAGGATGTGAGGCCGGGCCGGACCAACTGGAAGTGGAAGCAGCTGCCGCTGTTCGGGAAGGCTGCAAAATCGATCACCGTCGATCACGTCAACATCCTGGCACTTCGAGGCAGCAGCTGTTGCAGCCACATTGCGTCCTGCATCCACACGTGCCGCCTAGCCAGGCTGCTCCGGCGCCGACCTGCGATGCGAGCGCACCCAGATGTTTTACATGGGCATAAAACTGTAGTGTAATTATCCCTTGCACCGAGGCGGTGCGAAGAGTGGATATTCAGACGACGGCTGCTGGACCTGTCCCCAGGTGCACTGCTGCTAGGGGTGAAAATGCAGGCAGATGTAAACCGACTCCACTGTCTTGAAGCTGTGCCAAGTATACGAACTCGACCGCAAGGCATGCTAAGTCTTTGCTCATATGGACTGAAATCGGAAGGTTCCTGATTTGTGTCACCTCACCCGTCAGATCTTTGAGATAAGTCCTCGCTATCAGGATGCCGCAGCGGTCGGGGGAACTGTCCTCAGTACTCAGTGCGGTCGTGCAGTGTTGCGCGTTCCCAGCCCCAACCTTCGAGCTTCTTCCGAGGCTGGGCGCATGTCTCCACCGAAAGCGAAATCAAAAGATCCGCCCAGAGAAGCCAAAAGCGATGCACCAGCCAAGACGGCCAAAGACGCCGCCACAGAGGTGAGCGACCCAGGTTGCAGATCTGTGCTGTTCGGCTGTTTGGCTTTGGACCCCATGTCGCTGCGTTTTCACACCAAGGTGACTCCAGATGCTTTGATGGCAGAGTCAGTGACTTAAACCCTTCAACTTGCTACTGTGCCTTGCCTTACTCTGCCATACGCACCTGCCTTGTTGAGGCCGGGTTTCATGCCAGAGGCTTCTTGCCTTTCGGACAATGGCCTTGTAGCCTCCGGCTCTGGGATAATAATCGCTCGCAAGGTGTGTCCACGGTCACACGGTCTCGGGCATGAGGACTATAAATTACCTTTACAGGTTTTGCACACTCATGGGTTTATCTCGCATTCGACGCATGGACGGGTGCAGAATTCAAGGACTGCCCGCTGCTGGCGGGCGTTTTCGATTACTTGGCCGCTGGCCGTGTGGTGGCGCCCTCACGCTGTACCTGAGAGAAACCTGCTCGAAGGGACAGTCGGTGTCGGATGACAGCTGCTAGCTAGTCAGACAAGGAGCTGGCCATGCAGTGCATCTTCAGCTTGGGAAATGAACAGACGCTCCGTGCAGTTCTGCAGCGTGCAAAGCTTGGCTGAGCTCGGGTTTCACTCACGGGACGATCGGGTGGCGCTTTGCTGTGGCCAAGGGCTGGACTCGGATGCGGTGTGGCCAGAGCAACCCAGCTGAAGTAGAGATCAAAGAACGCTGCATGCGGTGCACGAGTGTGTTATGTTGTGTTGTGTTGTGTTCTGTGCTTTTTCTGCTTCTGTTCTGAGGCTTCCCAAGCCGGAGGCACAACATTTGGTCCCGGCCCTCAGCGAGTCCAGAGCTGGTCCCGCCTCTGCGGCTTTTCTTTTCATCTCATCCCTCTCTGCGTAGGCACGGCTGCTGGTCGCGCTGGTGTGCCGCGACCCCTTTAGCCCCCTGGCAAGAGGTGCTGTTTGGTTCACCCACGGCACCGCTAAGCTACTAAGGCTCTGCAGCAAGTGAGGCCTGCCCATGGCCTCGGCCTCAGAGTTTCATCGGAGCTACTCGTAAGTCAGTGCCTTCGATGCTCAGGCTTGAAGCCTTACTCCGCAGGCCGCATGGTGAGAACCTGCTCCCGGCAGAGGACTGAAGTTTCTTGACTGTGGAATTCCGTGCGGCTGGGCGTGCTGGAGTTCAGGAGCTCCTCTCACTGCAAGGTGCACTCTTCAGCGCCTCTGCAGCGACGACCTTGGCCTCTGCATGCGAAACAAGGCCGTGTGTTCATGATGTTCATGTCACTTCAACAGCAACATAGGTGGGTGGGGACGTGGGCCCATGTGCCGCCCGCCTCTATTTCCGGCTCTTCCAGCGCCAGGCGTCTGTCTGATGTGTGTGCTGCGCGTGTGTCTCCCAGCTTGAGCGTCAGCATCACGGATGTTCGTGGCGAGGCACAGGCATCAGCTTCCTGCCCCCAGCTGATGTTCTCAAGCTCGAGAGCTTCGGCGGTGCGAGGGGCTCGGTGCAGGGACCAGGGAGACTGTCACGCTGCCAGCATCGAGCTACGAGGCCAGTTACACTGCCACAGTCTTGTCCGTGAGCAGTGCGAAGGGAGCGGGGGTGGAAAGGACACACAGTCCTCCGTGAAGAGATCGTTTTTGCACATGAATTTGCGATGAATGGTATCTTCAAGGGTGATTTAAGGGCTAACGCTGTCTCACTCTGCAAATTGCCTTGGAGTCCTTGCGTGTGGCTGAAAATGGCCGCATGTAGGGCACCAAGTTGTACAAACGGCTCCACTCAAGTCACTCTTGAACAGAAGCCTCGCCCCATCCAAAAGCTTTCGGCCGGAGTGTTGCATCAATTCAGTGACAGGCGCCAGGCAGTCTGTAGCGTGCTCCGCTCAAATCCGAGGTGCTTGTGGATTGGGAATGGCGGTGGGCGAGAAGATCTTCGGTTCGTAGAGGATGGCGGATTCGACGGGGCGTGCCTTGCCCTTCCGTCTCGTCGCAAACCCGCTCTGCATCTCTTTTGAAAGCACAACGTAGTGAGCCAGCGACATGGATTTGGATTCCGCTTTCCCTCTCCCTCCATTCCTTGGGCAAGTAAAGCTTCCCTGGGATGCTGTGGGTGGGGTGTTAAGTCTCGACCATCGGGCGAGCAAAGATCCTATGACTTCAAGCTTGGCATGCGTGTGCTAGGTACACCTACTTTGCTGCCGAGGGCTTCACACCAGGCGGCTTTGCCCAAATTTGCCTTTGTGCACGAATCTGTGCATTGTTGCGCAGCTGCCGCCGGCCAGGATCTAACACAAAAAGCTGGAAAGACACTGCAGCGCCAGCGTCTAAGTTGAAGTGCAAGTGACTCCGCCAACGGGCATTTGACAGTTCTATCAAGTTCTATCTCGGGTGTAGCACGCCTCAATGCCACTGGCAGCACTAGTTGGCCTCGTGCCCTGAATCCGAAGCATCACTCAGATGCGAATCACTTCATGACTGCTGATCATTGGTGCCTGAGCACTGCCCCAGTGCTCAGAAAGCCTGCCATGCATTGGCGACAATTCTGCTGCAAAAATAATCTTTCGACAGCTCTTCCCTGCAATCACCTGAAATACCTGTGGACCGAGGAGACTCCAGAAGCTTGGTAAGCTTTTTGTGCCGTCAGTTGGTCCCGGGTGCGCCCGGCTCGTTTGCAGTGCGGCACGGTGCGGAAAGAACACCGACTTGCGCAGTTTTTTTCGGTACATTGAGCTTGAGGTACGATGACACGCGGGTCAGACCCTGGAATTCGCACAACATTCGAGAAAGGAAGGGCGGGGAGTGCGACACTCTCGTCTGTAGGGTTGACTGCTTCGTCCCTGACAGACTGTCCTGGAAGAATACTTCAGTTTCTCCGGCGTCTCGTTTGAGGTACTACAGCCGCATGTGGTCCGCGGCAGTGGGCAGTGACTTGACGAAATATGCAAAGCTCAAGTCACTTGGCGCGGAAGCATTCGTTGATGGCAGGCTAGGTCCAGCTAGGTGGAATGAAGCCAGGTCGGCCCCACGCTGTATCAGCCTGGCCACCCAGACTCCAGACGCCGAAGGCCGTCCCTGTGCCCATTCGATGTTCTCGCAATGTTGAAAGGTCACTTCCTACAATGAGTGGGGCGAGGGCACGCAGATCGAGCCGGCGAAGCGCCATCGATCCTGGAAAGGCATCTTGCGAAGGGCGACCGAGCATGCACCCGTGGCACGAGCCAAGACGCAAAAAAAGGAGCAAAGTACGGCAGCTACGAGCCGAAGCCGCCGTGGCCCTAAGGGCCACCCATGGCCACCCTTTGCCCTCTCGTCAGATCTTGGGGAGGAGCGACTCTCCCAGGAGAACCTTCTACTTGACGGAGACCAAGCGATGGTCAGACCAGTTCAAGGCCGCACTCTAACACTACACGCGTGGCTTGGGTTTTGATTGCAAGTTTGGACCGACAATCCTAACTGGCCTTTGGTGCGAATTCTTATTCGGGCAGAGTGTGTCCTAGTCAGAGTGTATTAACAGGTGTGGAGTCGAGAGGGTGCAGTAGGTAGGGAGGGCTATGCGGCATTGGGTGTCGCTTTCCGAGTTCTGCAAGTGTGGGCTCTACGGGATAGAGTTGCTGTGCTTGGATTTGCGATTCAGACTTCGGATAAAACAGGCAAGATGTTGACAGTGTCGGATGCGTGCGACACTTGGCTTCACCGACTGGGCGTACGTTCGAAACTCCGTGAGCCCAGGGAACACATTTTGCCCGCATTCCTCCCTGCCTACTTGGCCCAGCTTGAACTCCCTGCAACCCCTCCCTTGCTTGCCCCGTCCACTCACATCATCTACATCTATTGTGGGTTTGGAAGGCAGCGGCAGCATCATGGGTGTTCGAACGTAGAACTGGAAGATGCGAGCCAGTGTTTCCAGTGTTGGCCCAAACCAGCCGGAGTTGCCGTGTTTCGCTTCACCAGGCAGCTTAAGAAACCCAGCCGAACAAAACCAACTGCATCTGTCTGGAGTGTGTTTGATCACCGCTCCGCCTCCTGCAAGGCAGTAGGAAAGCTGCACATCGGTGCCGGGTTTTGTGAGCCCGAGCTCCTCGTTGCATAGCGCCGCATGCCTTGGGCAGGAAGATCAATGCCGCGAGGAGAAGACAGAGCTTTAGCCTGAAGCTTGCACTGAGTTCCGTAGGTGCAAGACGATGGGTATCCACTCATCAACTCTCCTCAGTCCGCGTGTGCTTGTCCGATCCCTGGGATGAGCACACAGGAATTGTACATAGCCCCCCCGTATGTGGAATCTGCCCATGCTTCCCCAAATAACCCTTCTTAAAGCATGCAGCTTCGCGAGACTTTGGCTTTGGCGTGGAAGCATGGTATTAATGGATTTTGCGCGAGTCGCGATCCTGATCACTTGCTGATAAGGCAGGGTTCCGAAAAGTTGATGAGGGACGCCAGGCGAGGATCCTTCGAGTTCCCTGGAGTGATGATGCAGGTAAGATGTGAAGCATGTCAAGCTGAATCGGGTCGATCGCTTGATGTGACACTTCTCGACTTGAACTCAGAGAGCCGACAATTAGATGTTGTTGCATTCATCTGTAGGACATGTATCCTTCGCTGTTCGCCAAGAGCTTGAACAGGTTCATCGCTGTATAGACAGATAGCATAGACAGATAGAGCAGCGACACATATCATTTGCAGTTCTTTCCAGCCTTCCAGGCGTTGACTAGGTCAGCTTGTCTTCCTTGGCCGACCATGACCGGTGCTCTCCCAAGTGATGCGCTGCTACAGACCCCGGTCGGCCAACGGCTACCACCCATGGATCGCCAGGAGAGTCATCGAGCTCATAGTGCCTGGATGCGTGTCGTGCCGTGCAGATCCATGCAGTGCTAGGAGACGACCGGGGAGAGCTACAGGAAGCGTCAGCAGCAACGCTCCATCATGGCTGTGATGGATCCGTACAATCCCCCGGCATCGAAGAAGCGTGCCACTGGGCTACTGTTTAAGGTTTCTTAGGTTCTTCTTCTGTCGGCTCTCTTGACTTCGCCGGCCAAGCTTTCCTTGACAGTAGCTGCGCACCTGGCGCCGAGGCAGATGGAGGTCATCTAAGTCTACGAGACTGGACTCTTGCACACAAGTCCGGTTTCGTCCAGCCTGTTGACCTCGAATCCCAGAAGTACGAATCCATCATGGTGGTGAAGTAGTGCGCAGGGGCTCTGCACTTGTCACTTCGGTCAATAGCTGTGCATGGAAAACTAGGAAATCCTGGCTCTCTGCATGTTCGGCTGCGGTCCCGCTTTTCTTGCCTCCTGGGTGCAGCCAGAAGCTTTGGGTATGTGAGCATTGACACCTTGAAGAGGCAGCTTTTCTGCCCCATGGTTCCTGCAGCTCCGCTCTGGAAAGTGCAGTCGTCCCGCTGAGCTGTTTCTTGCCATCCTTTCCGGAGTTCTCCTAAGGCTCAGCTATTCCTCGTGTGTGTCGTATGCTCATCTCATTGTCTCGGGTGCCTATGGCTACCCAATTCGCGCCGCCAGGTCCTCAGAGGGTTTTTGGACAAGCATGAGATCAGTAACAGTAAGCGTTGTCATCGCTCGGTTATCTTGACGATTTGGGGACGTCAGGTGGTGATAACTTCGATGCATTTGTTCAGCAGCGGCCTGACGGGCCTGATCTTGCCGATGCGGAGCACCTTGGCAATCTTAGCATCGCGTTGTGGCATCCACAGCGCTCTTGCAAGCCTCAGGCAAGTGCCCGTTGATCATTCCATCAGCAGATATCTCTGTGACGATGTTCTACCAGATGATTGCTGGGAGCTTTCAACACGTCATTGAGCCAAGCTGCAAGCCAGTTGCAAGTCGATGTCGCCAGGTCATGGACATCGTCAAGGCCGCCGCTGACGACGGCACGCTTTCGCCGGAGGTGGGAGTCGATGAGCTCCACAGGTCTGCCTCCATTCCCCGTCGACACAGGCGGTGGCCGCAACCGCAATGCTGGCACTGCCTGTGAACACGATCCTTATGAGCCTGGTCTTCTTCCTGGTGGGAGAGCATCTCGTCTCAGTCTGCTATTCCAGACCCTCGCAGGGGTTCGAAGCACAATGTCAATCCAAAGGCAGAAAGCGACAGTCGTTGTCTCCTATCTGCCTTACCCTGTGGTTGCGGGCTTCCTGGGCTCAATAGGCCGTTTGTTGCAAGCGCTTGCTCACTCGCTCAATAAACAATAAACGAACCTCTCGAAGACGTGGACTTCTGCAGGCTTGGCCATCTTTGTTGGGGCCTTTGCAGTGCTGGAGGACTGGGATCCCTGTCCGTTCCTCTCGCTCATGCTCACCACATCTGATGCGAGGATGGGCTAAGCGGCTTCAGTGGCATCGCCCAGGCCCGAAGCATGACTGTGAAAGCACCGCGCCACTCATGTGGTCACAGGCTGCGCATGATAAACCTTGGCCGCTGTTCTGCGCGGTAGGCGCAACAGCTGCAAGCTGGAAGAGACGGTGCATGAGAAATGTTTCTGATCACAAGAGCGGTCAAGGCATGGCACTCAGCTCCATCTTGTTGAAGTACGCCGGACTCCCTGCCCGAGTGCCTTGGACAAATCGCATTCCGCATCCGCTTGACCAGGGATCTTGCCAACAACAGCGAAGGTACTGGCCGTGGCACCAACGCTGACCACCATGGTGCCCTGGACTGCAGCTTGGGACACTCGATGGGGCATTTGCACGTGCAGTGCTGTGCAGGTCGTCTTCTGGCTGTGTGTTGCATTCTCCGGCTTGTCCTTGGAGGAGATCAGACAGGATCGGTGAGCTGTTGGACACTGTTGTTGAGCTTGAGCAGATTTGAGCTATTGCACTCAGGACGGTTGGCTGTTCCCAGCAGCGAGTTTCGAACCCTTCTGGTCGATATGGACTGCCGTGGGCCCAGAAACCAGAACAGCTAAAGGGGGGTGCACAGCTCCAAAGTTCGTGACCGAGGAACAACATCCAGCACGGGTGGTGCTGCAACTTGGCTGCACAGATCTGATTCTGTAAACCGCGCAGATTGGAGAGCACCCGGTTCAAAGTGCGGTCGGGAGGAGATGGGAGAAAGGAATCCCATGAATCGAAGGCTGCTTCATCGAGAGAGGATCGTCGGAACGGCCCGTTTTCGGAGCTTAGAGTTTGCGACCGCACCTCTACGTGATAGGCTGTTCGCTCAAAGTCGCCGTTCCATCGTGATTCAACATAAACACAAGCTTAATTTAACGCTACGCCGCCCGCCTCGTCTGCTGAGGGCCACAGGGCACGGTAGACGCCTGGATAGCGTTGGTGCGTGTCTGCAGCAGAAGTCTAGAGTTCGTGGGAGGAACAAAGAAAATAGACGTCCTCAAGCTTGCTAAGATCCTCCAGAGTAGTGCAAGCACGTCCGGTAGCAGCAAGCCGCTTGAAAGCTTCGTGAGGTCCGTGTGTTCGGATGTATTCAACGGCAGGTGTCAGCAATCAAGTGC